ACAGACTGACGCATGCAGAACGACAACCAAATGTTGTCCTCCAAATCGTCAGAAAATCCGTCTCACCACGAATGGTGTCGCGAGCGAGGTCGTTCGAACTCGAAGGTTTGAAAGTTTGAGAGTTTGGAGGTTGAAGTTTGAAAGTTTCAAGCTTTGAAGGTTTGAAGGTTCGAAAAGTGCTGGAGTTCGAAAGTTTGTGCACCTTGGTGTGCACAAGCTAGCCGCGGTCAAACTTCGAACTTTTCGAACTCGAAACTTTCAAACTTTCAAGCTTTCAAACTCTCGAACTTTCAAGCTCGACTGGCTGCTTGAAACTCAAACTTCAAACTTTTCCCGCGGGCGAGTTCGATCGGCCTTCGAAGTTTGAGAGTTCGAGACTTTGAAAGTTTGCAAATTCGAAGGTTCGACGGTTTCAAACTTTGAAAGTTCGAACGTTCGAAAGTTTGAAAGCTCGAAAGTTTCAAAGTTCGAAAGTTTGAAAGTTCGAAAGTTCGGAGTTTGAAAGGTTGGCTTCAGATTTCCTCTTCGGCTTGGGCTGAGGTGACGAGTTTGAAAGTTCGAAGGTTTCAAACTTCGAAAGGTTTCATGTTCGAAGGTTTGAAAGTTTCAGAGATCGAAAGTTTGAAAGGGATGAAAGTTCGCGAGTTTGAGAGTTCGAAAGATTGAAAGTTTGCAAAGTTTGAAGGTTTGAAGCGCGTCGAGATGCAAAGTTTGAAAGTCCGCTGAGTTTCGAGCTTGAAAGTTCGAGAGTTTGACAGTTTGAAAGTTCGAGTTTGAAAAGTTTCAGAGTTTGAGGCGCTCGACATGCGGTCACGTATATGGGTGTTGTTCGCAACCTCAATTAAGTATCTTGAACAAACACGCCTTCTTTGTTGGCGATTCCGGTTCACTTCGCCCTCATTTTGCGATTCGGGTCATCATAGCCCCTCACCACATATCTTAATTACGCTCCCATTGGGCGATTCCAGCACACCGTGTAACTTAAACGCACCCCTTGAGTTGGCGATCTTAAGCACACCCCTCATTTAGCTTTTCCGGGTCATCGTATTGTCGTATTACGCTTACTCATTTGGCGCTTTCGGTTAATTTTACATCTTACACACGCCTTCTCTTTTGGCGATTCTAGTATATCTCAAGCACGCCCAAGGACGTTTTGGTTCATTTCTTCGCGGCTTAAACAAACGGGGAGTGTGCTGTCTAAAAGCGCATCCCCCCCCTCCCCCTCCATTTGCAAAGCTTCCGAACCACCCAACATGAATATTATTTTCGCTTTTAACCCCCCGATGCGTTTTCGTGTGGCTTTCTCCTTTGTGTGTCTTGGAGAAGACTTTTCCCGGCGACTAGTGGTACTATTCGGGGGGGGGTGGCGAGGGGCTCATGGGTGAAATATGATAGGGAGGCCTTGTAGTTTTGGGTTTGGGCGAAGCATGAGAGAGGGGGTTGGGTGAAGTAAGTAGTCCTCCAAATCATTGGGGTTGGGTGAAGTACCTAGTCCTCCAAATCACCTTCCAAATCACTCATGATCATAATGCTCTTTTCTTCGTCTTTAACACCCCTGAAGCGTTTTCGTCTGTTTTTCTTCGTTTGTGTGTGTTGGAGAAAACGCGGCTTAAGAGAGCAGGAAGTTTGCAGTCTAAAAACAGCGGGGGGTTGGGGGGGGGGCGCAGCCCCCCCCATTTGCAGAGTTTCCACATCATTCATGAAAGAAGGGGGGTTTTGGGTGAAGTACGCTTGCAGTCTAAAATAAGCGGCGGGGGGGAGGGGGGGGGTTGGGGGCGCAGAGCCCCCTCCCTCATCTGCAGAGGTTCAAAATCACTCATGATTCATGATGTCTTCTTCGCTTCTAATCCACCTGAAGCGTTTTCGTGTGCTTTCTCCCTTGTGTGTGTTGGAGACTGGGGGGGCTCGAGTCTTGGATTTGAACGAAGTATGAGGGGGCGGGGCTCGTACTCTGGTTTTTGGTGATGTATGAAGGGGGTTACGTTTTATTTTTTTCGCGGCTTAACAGAGCAGGGAGTTTGCAGTCCAAAACAAGTTGGGGGGTTGGGGGGGCGCAGCCCCCCCCCCTTTCAGAGCTTCCAAATCATTCATGCTTAAGTTTTGTTCTTTGCGTTTAGCCCCCTGAAGCATTTTTGTGTTGCTTTCTCCTTTGTGTGTGCTGGAGAAAGGTGGGGCTTAAAGTCATGGATTGAGGAAGACTGTAAGGGGACGCCTTGACGTCTTAGATTTGGACGACGTATCAGGGGAGGGGGATCTTAAGAGAGCACCCCCATTTGCACAGCTTCTTAATCACTCATGATGAATTTTAATTCTTCGCGTTTAAACCCCTGAAGTGTTCTCGTGTTGCTTTCTCCTTTGCCTGTGTTGGAGAAAGGGGGGCTTAACATCTTGGTTGTAGGAAGACTGTAAGGGGAAGGGGGAGGCTCGAAGTCTTGGATTTGGACGAAGTATGAGGTTGGGGGGGCCCGTAATCTTGGTTTTTGGTGAAGTATGAAGTGGGAGACGCTTTCATTAAGTTTTTCTCGGCTTAACAGAGCGGGGCGTTTGCAGTCTAAACAGAGCGGTGGGGTTCCCCGAAGACTCCAAGCCCGGCCCCCCCCCCCCCCGCCCCCCCATGGTCTTCCTAAATCCAGAACTACAACCCCCCCCTTCATACTCTTCCTAAATCCAGGACTACCTGTCGCCCAGGGGGGTCCCGGGCTATTGAATCGGACTCGGAGTTACCGGGCCCAGACCCTAAAATGAGGACGTCAACATGGTTTCAAAATCAAACTTTCAATGTATTCAAACTTCAAACTCTTCAAACTTACAAACCTTCAAACTCCCAAACTCTCAAACTTTGAACATCTCAAACTTTCGAACTCCACGGCTCTCAAACTTTCAACTGTCGAAATTTGAAAACTTCAAACCTGCAACCCCCCAAAGTTTGAAATTTTGGAAATTTCAATCTTCGAAGCTTTCGAACTTTCAAACTTCCTGGGTTTCAAACTTTCAAACTCCAAGCTCTCAAACTTTCGAACTCGAGCCTGAGGGCTGCTCTGTGAACCCCTACGCGTCTCCAGCGGTCCTTCTCCTTTTCAAACTTTCGAACTTTCAATCTTCGAAGCTTCAAACTTTCAAACTTCCTGGGTTTCAAATTTTCAAACTCCAAACTCGCGCCCGCTTTCGAACTCGAAACTCTCAAACTTTCAATCTTCAAACTCTTCATTCTCCAAACTTTTCAAACTTTCAAACTCTCGAATCCCGTCCAACATGTACTACGTTCAAACTCTCAAAGATTCGAGTTCGAAAAACCCCACTCGTGACACCTCTCTCTCACCACTGGCTCGTTTCGGGAGCACCACTTGCGAGATCACCAAAGGAACACCGTAAATCACTACCCAAAGACAAACATTAATAGTTGGAAAAAGCTCAGCTGAGGCTCGCCTCACACCCTGCCTGACCCTAATCTGTGGCTCGACCACACCCCACCTCCTTATACATTCTAAGGTGAGGGGCTTAGTACAGTAGTAGTACAGTAGTAGTACAGTGCTTCCCAGGCACACCAGCACGTCACAGCACATGCCCGGCCGGAGCTCGGCTGTGGCGCAAGGAAGCAGCCGCATGTTCAGGCGATGTCCCTGGTTCGTGGCCGGTCTTGCAGCCTCTGCATGGTTGTTTTCCACGCAGATCAGTCTGACACCAATGGGTTGTCACGCTGCAAACGCATTTCGTGTGTGATTGGGCCGTCTGGTTGCTGGCCTGCATGCGGGTCCTGCGTTCCCATCTCCGGCTTTGGAGCAGATCTGGATGCCATGATGCTCACAGCCGACTTTGGCACCCAGGGGCCTTGGCGACACACTTCGGGCCTGCTAGCAGACAGTCCAAGCGACGGTGCGGTCTTCGTTGAGGAGGAATGCGTCAGGCGCCGGCTCCGTTGTGTGCTATAGAAAGCATCTGAAGCCGTCTACAGTCTACCCGCGAGTGTCGCTCGCAGGGCCTGTATTTGGGCAAAGTTATCACGGTTCACAAGCAGCTGTGCGCTGTCTTGCAGTTCTTGACCTCCCTTCAAGCTTCGCAGCACTGCAAGCAAGGTGCGCACGCGGGGCCGAGCTGGACGGAGCCTTGATGCCATCTGCGAAAACGGCAGCCTGAGCTAGCGAGGCCGAGTTCTGCGAGTTGCAGGGTACACTCCCGTGCCAGCTGAAACACCTCAGACATATCAGGCAACAGCCCAGGGTTCAGAGGCAGTGCTTCGTTACCTCGTTACCACGGAGGTGACCCAAAGAAGCTCCGAAAACAACTTTTTTGCCTGGCGCCTTTGTGCCGAATTCAGCCTTTACCGTCAGAGGAAAAAGGCGACGATTCATCTTCAGCAGCAAGTTGCATTTTGTCGGTTATGTCTATGAAGTCCGGTGTTTGGTGGTGTTCACACCTCAGTTCAACTGTCCAATGCGTGAGCACGACACCGATTTTTGATACCCTTCGCAAGACTTTGAAACGCATTAACGCAGGATCCTTCCTGGAGTTCACGCATCCTAGTACCGTGCAGCTAAACCCCAACCCTACATCCGCGACCCTCAGGGTTTAGGGTTTAGTAAGTTTAGGGTTACTATAAAGACCCCTACTTTTAGCTACAGACATGGCATGTTTAATTTACTTTTTATGTAAGCTTTGTTCTTGATTTTTGCTGGCTTATTCAACGGTCTTCAGTTTTCAACAAACAAAATCAAATTGTGAATGTAGCCTGCATCTATTGGCAATGCTTTCATTGGGATGTTCTGCATTTGTTGGATTGTTTGGAAGCTGCTAGCAGAGACCTGCACGCCAATCTTGGCATCAAATGAGTGGTAGTCGAAAGCGCCATGATTGTGCAAGTGTTTGCATGTATAACAGTGGCGCCTTTCCATGCTGCGGTCGCACCACCAAAATCCCGCACATTTTGTGCTGTTCGGGTGTTCGCAATTAAAACAACCTTGCGAAGCGTCGACTTTTAGCTGACAGTACTGCCAAGAGCGCAAATGGCGTTCTCATCGGATGCGGAGAATCCGCAGGGAGCTACGCAGCAAGGAGCTCGTTTTCGGGTGCATGCAATGCATAAGGTGGTTTCCGGATTGGTGAAGGTGAGATCATTGCCGGTTAAGGCTTCAAATCATCGTGGAAGTGCCCGCGAATGCACGACCTGGAGTGACGAAGCCAGGGCCTCGCCATCGACGAGTGATTCACCTTGAAAGCCGAGCCATGTGTGGTCACATTGACATGTCGTTGTCTTGACAACCGAATCGACGAATCGAGCTTCGCTTCTTCCGTGATGTGTCTGGCAGTCAGCATCCGTCAGTGTACAACAGGCTTTGTGCATTAGACTGGGCCAAGGGGCAAGATCCGTGCTTGACAGGTTGGCAGTGGACGTAGATGAAGAGTCGGAGCTCCATGTGTTGGTGCCCGCAGAAGCTGCTGCCCGATTCTTAGGTTCACGTTGAGTATCAGCACCGAAAGTGGCATGAAGGCCCTAAGTGAATGCTTTGTGAAGAACCCAGGTGGGGGATCGCTTGCGATTGTCAAAGATGCCGGATGGCCCGTGGACATGTGTGGTTTTGAGGACACGGTACCTTGCAGGTGAGTCGAGGTCAGCTTCCAGCGTCATCGAAGCGTAGCAAGCAAAGGGCGTTTTGGATGCATTGCTGGATGCGGCGGTCCATTCTAGGAAGCAGCCACTTCACGACCTGGCCAATAGAATCGCTGAACAACCAGGCCCTCAGAGCTTCAGCGAGTCGAGTTTCTTTCGCTTTCTTTCTGGGTCCTTCTAGTGTGCCAGGGGAAGATCTCAACAAGCTACAGTTGCTGGTGCCTGCTGCCGTCAAGCCGTGGTCTCGCCTTCATCCGTCGAAGTCAAGCTCACTTTGTGTTAAAGCTCCATTTCCGCGAGGTTTGGGTGTGCGGTTGCATGGTTTTTTCGGGTTCATGGTTTCGGGTTCCGGAACCAAGAACAGCCCATCGCAGAAAAAATCAGAGGTACTCCCGATTTCCTGCACACCCCGCATTTGTGGAATCACGCGGAGCGAACCGATTTGCAAAGAGCAGAACCCAAGAAGTGCTGCTGGGTAGTAGCAGCTGTAGCAACCCATGGAGCGCTTTTTGTAGGAGTGCACTGAAGCCTTCTTTCATCCACCCCCAATGTGCCACACGCTGCAGTCAAGCTCAAAGTGTACAAATTGCCAGAACTTTCGGAACACGTGTCGTTGCAACATCCAGTGCAAGCCCGAAAGCAGAAGTGGCATTGTAATCTGTGGGCATCGTTTGCTGCGACATGGGCTCGGTGCAGTCATTGGATCACATCCGAGACGTCTTAGCCGCCGAGGCCACGTACCGAATCGTAACGCACGAGCGAAATTCATTAGAACTGGCATGCAAACAGATCTCAAGCCCCGAACAGCAAGGTCGTAAACCGCTGAAATCTCTTCCTTGTGAAAGCTCATCAGGCCCGGCCTTACGAAGCTGCAGGTCAGCCTTTCAGCTGGCGAGCAGGTCCCGGGAGAGTTTGGGAGAGCAGTCGGGAAAAACAAGGCTCACGACCTGGTGTCGATGATGACTCGGAAGAGGATGATGAGACGATGGTGCTGATGAGGAAGAGGATAAAAGTGTGATTGCAACGATATCCATCATTGCTGTGCCTCACCTCGCTATTTGGTCTGGTTGACAGCCGTATTCGTCACACTGTTTTACTGAAAACTTTGATCGTCTTGCCGGCTGTTATTCTCACTATTTCGTGCATGTCTTATGTTTGGGGGCTGGGGTTTGCGAGAAACGGCTTCTGATTCTTACTCGTCGTAGCTCTGCTGTATGCACTGCAAGGTTTGTCGTTTTGGTGGTCGTACTGCTGGTGGTGGTGGTGGTGGTAGTAGAAGAAGCGGTGGAAGCAGTAGTATCTTGATTGGTAATGTTGGTAATGTTTTGGTATCAGTAGGCGGTAGCAGCAGCAGTAGTGTAGAGGAGCAGCAAAAGGAGGATGAGGACTCGTGCTCGTGCTCGTGCTGGTGCTGGAGTGGGATTTCAAGTTCTGCGAGTCCTGGACTGCCCCAAACCATGTTGAAAGGTTGCCAGCACAAACCCAAGGAAGGTAGGAGCCTCTTATTTGGCGATCAGGTGCAGCTGTCCGTCCCAGAATATGCAAGGCACGCCGTGTGAGCTGTGGACTGCCCCAACCATCTAATCTCCAGGTTCGACGTTTTGGCTTTACAGGCTTGAATGACTGTCTAGTCTGTTCCAGAGCTGGCCTCTCTGTGAGCAAAAGGGTTCTAAGATTCTATGCAGTTGTTGCCGGCATTGCCTGATCCCTGAACCAAGATGCACATGAATTGCAAAATACATGGAATGCGCGGAATCCCGTGATTGCAACTGTCAAGCCAGCCAAGCAGTTGCAAAGAATGCTTGGTGTAAAAGCATTCCAATGTTGGTTCAAGACACCCTTTTCCTGAGTCCCGGTGACCTCATTGAGCTGGAGCGGGCTGCTGGGGAGGAGGCTTGGCAGCCGCGGCCCCAAGTTGTGGGGGATCGGGCCGCAGGACTCCGGGCTAGCAACGCATGCAGAGTGTAAGGTTCCCAGAGAAGTTACCGAGGTTACAGCCGGAAAGTTTCAATCGTGTAGCCTCAGCTTTGGACGCTTGTTGCTTCACAGCAGAGCAGGTCGGCCCGATAGGCTGACCTACTGAGGCAATTTCAGGTCTAATGCAGATTTAATCCCTAGCTCGCAGCTCGAAGTGTGCAAGTGCAGGATCTGACCCAAAACTGCTTTCAACCTAAATGCGACACTGCAAGCTTGGCACCTCAGGGCGAAATTCACTCGGGACCAGTACCTGAACGGGGAGGACGACTGGGCTCGCGTGTGCGCACAGTTTCGTTTGCACCATTCAAGTTTTGCCTGACTCTGGGTTCGGTATGATTCTGGAATCCGAACTCGTATCAATCTCTGGTTTGGGATGGAGAGTGTGCAGTAGCAGGGGCTGCACAAAGAGTTCGATCACCCCGCATTGCCTCACAAGACAAACCCACTGTCTTGTATCACGCATTGTCTATGTTCAGATGTCTGACAAGATCTAGATGCAAAGACGGTAATCTTGAGATTGCAAGCTTGGGTGCAGGTTCCAGGATTTATCGAAGGACATGTAGTGTTTCGTTCCTTTGGCACTCTGTGAGACAAGTCAAGTCCAGCCTGGAAACAGTTCGGGATTGCGACTGTCGAACAACACAAGCTATCCGTCCGGAAGAAGGCGATGGTACCGGCATCGGGCAAGGTATTCGCTGTTCCCAGGCGCCTTGTTCCGCCGATGTTGCAAGTGAAGCTCGGCGTTACACTGTTATGTTACATTAAGGGTCGTCTCCCCATGGCACTGCGTGTTGCACTCACGACAGGATGTCAAAGTCTTGTCTCGAAACTTATGTGTACGAAAGGTGTTGTAGAATTGTAGAAGTGAGCAGGCAATTTGCAGAGCTGGGCTCTTGCGCATAGACGGGGACCGCCGTCTGCACCGCCTCGCAACCCGGACACCATGCTCGTGTCGAACGCAGACGTTGTCCGGCACAGGGTAAGTCCAGACCTGGCACAGCCTTTGTCTGTTTGTCACAAACCTGCTTTGCAGTGATCTCAAGAAAAGCTTCGAAGACACGGACATGGCAAACCTTCCGAGGACTCACTTCGCGGTGCAAGACACGTCTTGCCCTATGGTGGCCTGGTGTTGCGGTATCGCTTGCTGTCCATAGCCGTGTTGCACGTTTCTCCTCGGGGACCAAAGCCTGCCTGCCACCGCTTGTCGCCGACCGCATCACAAATATGCGTCATTGGTGCCCTGCAGCACGGGGTTGTATCACGAGCTTGAAACCCTTGGTGGTGCCTGCATTTGTCGGCTGCATCGCCCAGCGATTCATGCGCAAGCTGGAACTCCTCTTGTCCTTCTTGGAGTTGCCGTTGACGATCTTTTCGACCATGCGGCAACAGTGGCGTTTGGTGTTGAAACCTTGTTTTTGGGAGACCTCTTGCGGCACCGCCGGCGTGGTCCGAATCCCGGCCTTTTGCCAAATGCGAACGGCCCGAGCCGCCGAGCCACACAGAAGCTCGCAGTTGCACAGAGGCCATGTGCGAGCTGGAACATGTTCGCGTCAAGCTGTCTTCCAAACTCCGCTTCTGCTATGCTGCCGCATGGAGCTGCCTGCCTTTTCCTGCTCCGCATTGGTCCATGTCCGGCGTTCTCGGCCGCACCGCTTCATTGCCGGCCTTTGTCAGGAGGGTGGCGTTAATGTCACGGCGTGGTGCCGAGCGCAAAGCACCTCGAGTCCGTCTGCAACCGCCATTGATCTTTGTGCCGGGCGCTGCTCGTAGTCCTCGGGACTTTTGCCGGCTGGTGGCACGCGACGGTCGCCACCCGGTTGGACTGTTCCCAATGCGGCGAGGCATGAGAAGTGGCTAACCCATCCCGAGCTTGACGGACGTTCTCTGAAACTTCACCTTCCTTCGCCTCGTTGCCTGGCTCACGTGTCCACAGACGCTGACGGTGTTTCCAATGTGTGAAACCCCAATCCTGTTAGGAGTTGCAAAGGTTGGAGCGAATATGACTTGTCAAGACATTTACTGAACGGAGGTTTCGTATGTCCACCAGAACACATGAACGGACCTGGTGTGCAAGCACCAGCCAGGCAAGGTGCCGTGCTCCAAATTGGAACGGCGCAGGTGCAAGTGTGGGCACAGGCCGTGTCCAGTGCGGGGTGCAAAAACCGCACCCAACCTGATGCGCCCAGAGAGGAGGAATACCGAAAACATAACGAAAAACACGAGCAGCAACATTGCGTTGGGCACCATACAGGTCAACTGAACAAGGATGAAAACCATAGGCATGAATTTTGCATATTTCCGCACAGGTAAGTGCCCAAGCGAGTTCACCTAGAACTGCCGCACTTGGGGCACTGGCAAGCCAACCAAGTGAACGGCGATGCCATTGTCGCACAAAACGGCGCACGATGAAGCATCCAAGGCAGCACACAAGCTTGGAAGAGGCAGCGAGCGAAACATGGCGAAACCCACTAATACCCTACATGCAGCGTGGGTGCTGACAGCCCATGCCATAGACTTCGAGAAGCAAGAAAAACAGCTTGTGAACACTTTTCTCAAAATTACGATCCGTCTGTATTTTCTGTTTTGCGGAAAATACACCCACACCGAGGGCCTCGTAGCGAGAAATGGAAGTTTACAGACGCAGTGTCTGACCCGACATAGCACCCGCCATCTGACTACACATCTGCATGCATCTTGCATAACATTTTGCAAGCGGAACGTGGTTGAACAACGACAGGACAAGACATTCGTACCGCAAAGTTTTACGTTATGCCGACATCTATACCTCCGGCTTTCTCGGCGTGAAAAGCATCTGCGGGATTGTGTTCCACGGGCACATAGATCGGTTGCAATGGTACATTAGGCAAGCAGCCAAAGCACCCAAACCTGACGCGAGACTGGGACGGTCAACCTTTGGACATGTGACTTATTCGGAATACCCACACCACAGCGAACAAAATGCCGCATGCTTCGAGGGAGTTTGCTGGCTTTGTGCTTCGTGCGGCTGGTGATCACTGCCTGGACTGGTGCTGCTGAAACGGCAGCGGACGCGGAGTGCCCAATCGGTCAGTTCTTTTGATGGATTGTTCGGATCAAAGCAGAGCGTGGCGAATACCCCGCACAGGCGAGGACTGACATGGACTGACACCCCGAATCCAATCTAAGGGGAAGCATCACAAACCACCAGGAACGGCAAGAGTGTCGTTCTCTGGTCTGGCCAGGCAGAACTTGTGCTGGTTCTACCGGAAATTCTGGCAAAAGCCTGTCGACCGGTGTAGCATTTGACGAAAATACAATTTACCGGCAGTCTCGGACAAACGAGCACGAAAACGAATATGCCAAGCTCGTGGTTCAGCAGTTGCGTTTCGTTGTAGCACTTCATCTTGCTGCGCAGGCTGTTGGTGATGTTTTGTTGTCAACAAGAAAACAAGCCGCCAGTGGGATTCCTGAAGCGATTCATGTGTCAATTTCAGCTGGTGCCAGTGGCGAATGACTCATGCCGCACTGAAACCTGCTGAATGGCGCTGTTCCATCACACGCAACGTGTCCGCCCATGCTACAACCCGTGACTTTCGCGTGGTGGCTTCCAACTCCTTCGCTTTGAAACGCGGCGGGTTTGAAAGCTTCGCTCCCGAACTGGGTGGCAAGGACGAGAGAAAGGCTTTGTGCTCAGGAATGATCACCCGCGTTTCGCTCATCCGCACGGGCGCCTCCCCCTGCACCAATGGCAACAATGTGTGCGAAACGGTTTCTCGTTAATCCTAAATGTTAACGTTGGTTACGGCATTCCGCGTGGTAACGAACTGGGCAGCTTCCTGGACGCGTCCCTTACACCGACGAGTTGGCACCAACTCCGGCCTGTACATGCCATTTGCTGCTAGACACGGGAGATTACGGGAGCGTAGCATGGTTGGCTCGTGCTCCCATCCATGAATGGTGTCGTACTGCAGTCGTGGCTGCGAGCACGCCTATTCATTCCTGCAAAGATTCGCCCCCGGTGCGATTCCGGCAGTGGCAGGGAGCACGGGCAGGTCATGTCACATCAAAGCAGGTAGCGCATTTTCTCGCGCTCCCGTCGTCCTTGCTTTGGGAGTGGACGTTCATCATCCCTTTCAGGGTGGCAGAATTGCCCGGCACTCTCAGCCGCATAGTTCCGAGTGCCTACGCGGTGCTGTTTGTAGCACGTTGCTGCATGCCGTTCGTGTGTGTCCGGTTTTTCACATTCAGCACCACACCTGGTTGGAACGCTTAAGCTTACAACGTGTGCCTCAGCTTGGTATTGCAGAGCTGCCGCGGTGGATCTTGAATTCTTTTTCGTGCCAAACAATCATTCCGACCCCTCTCTGGGACACCGCCTTCGGCAACGTCGCTTTTCCGCCCGACACGGCCGGCCGTGTGTTTACGGTCCTCCCCACCTCCGACGATGTCACTACTGCCCCCAAATTTGCCGCTGCGGCAAGAGCGTCGACCCTCTGGGGACCACCGAGCCACCTGCGCCACTGCGGGTGTCCTTCCGACTCGGGCGCTGCCGCATGAGCCACTTGCCCGTGTCTGCCGCGAGGCCGGAGGGAGTGCGAGTTGCGCGCCATGTTCGCGTCGCTGACATGAACATTATTGAACATCGATGTGCCACTCGGCGATGCCAGGAGAATCGAAGTCGTGTGCAATGACCCGTCCCTTCGGCACGGAGCTCAGCTCGCAGTTGACGCGTCTATGGTCTCCCCGCTTACGCACGACAGCCTGCCGCAGCCCATGGCCGATGTGCAACCGGGCGTTGCGTTGGCGCGCGCGGCGCAGCGCAAAGCGCGGCAGAACTACCCGGGGTTGCTCCGTGCTCGCCGCTGCCGCTTTGTCGTGTTTGGCATTGCAGAAGCCGCGACCTTCCTGCAGGCGCGCGCAGCCGGCGCACCTGTCAACATGCGCCGCACTGCTCAAGCCACTTGGGTGTACCGTTGGGGTGGCATCCATCCTCTCCGTGGCCATGCAGCGAGCCTTCGCCACTTCGCTGCTCGAGCTTCCTGCTGCCGCAGAGCTCGGTGCTGCTGGTGGCCCACGCGCTTTGCCGAGCTCCTGCCTGACACACGCTCGTTGCAGGGCACCCGCCACCAGCCCTCTGACGCGTGAGGGACGGGCCCATCCTTCAGCTGCCGCGCGAGGGCGCTGACATCGTTGTCGCGGAGCGGCGCAAACGTGTGGCCTACCCTGAGCTGCTGCGACCCGGGCCGCCGCGTTTTTGTGTCCTTGCCTGCGAAGCTGGGGGACGCTGGAGCGCTGAATCCCTACGTCTGTTCACCCAACTCGTGCGACTCCGAGCCCAGCGCGCTCCTGCCGCCCTGCGCGTGGGGCTTCTTGAGCGTGGCTTTGCAAAGCACACTTGCTGCCACGCTGCTCGGAGCGCCGTGCGTCGCTGGCGCCCTGCCTGGCGCGCAGCACCCGCCATTCGAGGACGTACTGCACGATGCAGTCCCTCCCAGCCCCAGCCGCCTCGGCCCGTAGCGCGCAGGTTGCACGGGGACTTGGACTTGCGAATTATAGGCGGACGTAAAAAGGTGCGAGAAAAAATAGGTACTTCATGCATCCGTAAAACAGCACCCGCAACTTTCCGCAGGAGCCCATGCGACACAATTTCGAAACCTTGTAAACCCTGCCCCTTCCGTCCATCGCGGCTTGAGTTTTGGTTTTCGTCCGACGCCTTTTTTTCGCCTGCAGCTGAGCGTGGGTCTTGCTGTAGATGAAGTCGGTCGCGGGTTGAGGCCGGCTCAGAGCAGCACTAAACGGCTCCCCGCCTTCATGTTCGGACGTACCCTTGACCAACGGCCGCTGCATCAAGGCCTGGCAGGAGGCCCCACAGCCCAGCCGCTTCCCTGCCCGTGCTGAGAACTCCCGCTCGTGTGACACCGTAGTCCGCAGTTTGCACGGGGTTTTGGATTGTCGTTTGACTTGCAGTTGCAAAAAAGTGCGGAAAACATGCTACTTTGGCAACGCGCCCAAGCGGCTGTTGACACCATCCATTCTGATGTCCCCAATCGCGCGATCGAGCCCTGCAGCCGAATGCCGGTCGTGTTTTCTAGGCTTCCTTGCCGGCTTTCTAGCTTCTTGGCTTCTCGGGTTCTTGGCTTCTTGGCTTCGGTACGCTCCGCTTTTTACTGCTTTCTTGGCTTGTTGTTTTTGCGTTCGTTTTCTGTCTTGTTGTGCTTCTTGCTTGTATATACACACGTACACGCCTACATGCATACACACCGACCTGCATTTGCTCTTGCTTACGCTCTGCTTTTCTGTTTGTTAATCTTCGCATGTGCTTTTCCATTGTCGTACTACGTTCCTCGGAGTTGTGGAGACGCCGATAATACTGCAGACTCTTGTCTCCTTTTAGCATTGTGTCTATTCTTTCTCTCAATTCTAGTATTATGATTTGATTACAAAAAATGGTTTTGTTCATACTGTCTCATAGTTTGTTAGCGTGATTACAATCATGTGATTTGTATGTTATCATTTTTTCCTAGAGTATCATTTTTGAATATTCTGAGTACTGTTGTTACTAGTAGCAGTATACACACATACATACATAAATGAATACATGTATATCTATACCTATATATATATATATATATAGCTATACACATATCCGTGGTAAGTATCCCCGTCGCGCAAACCTCAGATCTCCGAGCTGCCACTGGTAAGGGAGGCGCCGTGGTAGGAAGGGTGGGTGGCAGCGACGAGCTGGGGGCGGCCACGCGGAGATATTGGAATAGCACTTGCCGTTGTTTGCAGCAGATCGCCAATCCCTAAATTTTTTTTGATCCTTCCTAAATTTTTTCTTGATCCGTTCAGCTAACTTTTGTTTTGATTCTTTTTTTTTGATCCTCCACCCGACTGTTTGCGGCTGCAAACTTGTTGTCCTTGGTTTACTGGCCACAGCACCTGTCCTTGATGCCAGACATGGAGAGCACCGGCGGAAGAAGACCCATTTTGTTGTATTGGGGGGGACGACAGCAAAATACAGCAAAACATGTGTGACATTTTTCGCAGTTTTGTTGTATGTGAGCCAAATCAAACTAGTTTACCTTAATTCCTACCAATTGCACATCGTGATCCGACCGGACAGGGTGCGCGTTCGAACGGCCTCGGGCGAAGGGCCGCGAGCATGCTTGCGCGAGAGACGTAGACACCCACTCCGTCGTCGGACTCGTGCTGAACGGAACAGCGTGCAAACCTTTTCAAACATTCCCCGGAAGTGTTGCGCCAGTGGCTTAATTAGTTATGAAGCAATGATCAGACTCACACCCTGCAATTCGGCGCCCAGTTGCATAACATCGCACAGCCGTGGTACCTGCGATTGTATGCGGCATGCCCGAAGCGAGCAGCCGTAAAACCGGGAGATGCCGGTCAGGGCGGTCAGCAAGCCTGTGCCGATTGGATCGGGTGCATGTGGGAGCCATTGAACGAAGGTCCAGGCTCGTGTCGAGGGGCCCGTGCAGCGTCCGGTGGTCGTCACGGGCGATCCCATGGTGCTTGGATTTTCCCGACTGTGGCCAGGACCCGAGGGCTGAGGATGTCACTCAGCAACGGCCGGAAGGTCATCGTCGACGGTGGCGGTGACGGAGAAGGGCTGGGAGGGCTTGCAGCAAAAGGCCAGCCGCGAAGGAAAATAGACCTTTGAGCGGAAATTCTCGGCGCACGGGCGGGCCACGCACACCTAACAATGACGCTGGATTAGAATGCTTGTATTAACTACTTTGTGAAATGTTTTCCGGTTGTTTTCCGGTGGTTGTCGTTGCGGAAGCGCATGCCGTCCAGGATGCAGGGAAAAACTTGGCAGTCATGGCAGATTTGGGGAAGGTTTCCCGTGCGGACCTCAAAAACGTTTGAGGAGTGCGGAGGTTTTCAGTCTTTTGTGTGCCACGAGGGGATGCCACGTTGGATTTGGAGGCCCTGCCCAGCGTGAGCTCCAACTGTTTCCATCGTTGGTGGAAACTTGCGTTTGTCTCGATTCATTCAGTTTTCCAGGCATCCATCCAAGTAATTGCTGCTTCAAGTAGTGCAGCAGTGAGTCGGAATATCATTGCAGGCTGCGGTGGAACATCTATTCAAAGTGGCCAAAGAAGCCGGTTGTTTCGCAGTGCACTTGGAACATAGGGACGAAGGGATGTCCTAGGAGAGACGATTATTGCTGTGATGCAACGGTTGCTTCTTCCGATGCGGCATGATGCAATGATGAGGTCAGTCCCAAAATCAAGCGTGGATGTGTCAGCCTCCAAGGAAGTTGTGTCTAGCATATGCCCTTCATCCTGTGCGGTTGCTCGACATCGAGGCGCCGCCACTGTACATCCCTGGCTTGCTTGCAGCGGAAGACATCCAGGAGGGTGAGGAGACGGGTTGGTTTTTGTTGTGGTACCGGGCTGCAGAATCTTACATGTAGGTTCGCTATCTGTTGAAGTAACAGGAGCTTTTGCGCATTCCAGCGCACCTGCATATCACGTGCGAGTCTCGGTGTCCTTCTATGGTTCAATCCGAAATCATGAGCATCATGTAGCATGTAGAGAGTATGGTCGCATGGCATTTGTCGAGCAACGGTCATTCAGGCCTCCTGCGGTTGAAGCAGCTGCTCCGGCACTTGCAGCTGTCGGGGCCCATAACTTGCTCCATGTGGGTTTGTGCTACAGTCGTTCAAACCCTTTATCATTGGCTGCGCTGCATCGCTCGCAACATGCAGAAACAGCCTCCGGTTGTAATCCATGGAAGTACGACAACAGAAGGTTTCGATCATTTTGGTATTTCTGGTGCAGCAGACGGATGACTGAGGTTGCCAAGAAGCGATGCTCTCAAGCGATGTTACATGTGCATCTGGATGCGGCACCATGTCAAGGACGTTTATATCAAGTCTGGCCTGCCGCTGAGGTCAGCAATGCCGGATCATCGACGTTTGCGCCTCAGAAGCTGAGCCGCTTGATGACATGCGGTCCCGACCCTGGGCCCTAGAAGAGTCTCCCCTCCATGAGCCCTCTCTCTGAGGTTCTGAAGCGCTGCACTCCTTCTTCCTCGCCCGGCTTTTGGCCGACTCCCAGGATGGGAGCCCCGAGGGTTCGAGGAAAGTTTAGGAGGGCCGGGGGCTCCTGCAGGGCTCACTACGACCTGGCAGGAGAGGGCCTTGGACAAAGCAGCAGAGGATCGGGCAAAGCCATGTTTGCAGCAGTGCGGGCTGAGATGTTCTGTTTTTTTTACCAGCTTTCCGGCTCTCGATGCCGTGTAGCAGTGCAGCAGCTCAAGCCGTGAAGACAGCCATGCCAACCAAAAGGCAGCTGTTCCAACCGAAGGGCCCGCAGTTAGGAAAGTTCACGAAGCAAGGGTGATGAGGGGCGAGGTGACATAGATGAGCATGGATGAGCAGAACTGGGCCTAGATACAAGATAGCTGATGATGTTGATTGTGATGATAATTGTGGTGATAATGATGATGATTGTGATCATCGTAGTGTTTGCCGTGGTAATGTTTCAGCTAGCACATGGTTGAGGAGGCTTCTGACAGTCTTGTTGTTGGTGATGTTGGTTGTGATCAGGCTCAGGATAGGCATGTGGCAGGAGGTAGCAGGTTGTCATGGTGTTAATGGTTAGGATCGGCCAATAGAAGTTGTGATGTTGATGATGACGAGTGGCGGTGGTGGTGCTGGCCTTTGCGGTGGTGCTGGTGCTGCCACTGCTGCCGCAGGGGGCGACACTGACAATGACGATGGCCGTAGGCAGTTATGACGCTGGCAAGGATGACAAGGTTCCGACATCTGAGAAAGGTGAAGCCTGGAATCTCATGGGGCATATTTGCCAAGCCCTCCGAGGAGTTGGGCTTTGGGAATGCAGAGCGGGTGTGGTGGTGAAAGTCCGGTTGCAGTCCCCCAAGACAGTTAACAGAGTCTTCATATGTCTTCATGGAGTTGGATTCTCTGTGGCAGTTCGAAGTCAGAGTTAGAGCTTATGAGATTGTCGCCAGGGAAAGAGTATCCTGAGAAGTCAGTGGACTGCCAGTGAGGCACAGCAGAAGGCCGGCATGTTGTTTGAGCGATGGTTGTTTTTGCATCGGAAGTCGCGGCAGGTTTGGGAGGCCTATGCAGACACGCTTCTGGGCGAGGACCGGGTTTGCGCGAAGGTGGTGGCGTGACGGTTGCTTTGTTGTGCAGCTTCTTCGAGCGCCTTCCAACCGTTGTGCCAGGATTTCTCTTACCACCCATTCAGACTTGCAGCCTTCAATCCTGGCGGGACGTGTCGCACTCGGGACGTGCTTGCAGTTTCAGGTCTAGGACTGGGAATCTGCTGGGAAGGCGAGAGGCCATGCGGCCGTCGCAGGAGGCCGAATATTTTATCGAGATGGCCTCGGACTTGGTGGTGGGAGCCGGAGTCGCAAGGCAACCAAGAAAGAACAGACATTATCAGAATGTCTGCAGGCTATTGCTGCTAAGGGTTAGACTCATGATGTGACAAAGCCTGCGCTATCCTCCAGTATCCTTACAACGAGTACTGAGTACTGTTTTTCGAGAACGTTCATCTTCGCACCATTTCGGAATGGACATGCCTAAAGGCCACCGACCTCATGATGTTACACGAGAGCATGGTGCGGTCCTGCTGGCACGAATTGATCCACCTTTCAGGCGCTTAAAATCTCCGATGCTTCCTTGGACTAAGACCTAAGTCTTCGAGGGGGTCAAGGAAGACACGTATCGCAAGGCGTCCCTGTTAAAGACTTGCGCTGGGGCCTGTGGACCAGTATGAAGCGTGGAAGGGATGAACAACGTTGTGCAAATCTCATTCCAATGTGTTGTTTCGCTTTGCATGTTTGTAAATGAGGTTAGTTATCCCTGACGCCAAAGAAGGTGCGGCCAAGAAGCCGGTGTGCACGATTCGGTCGAGGTGCGGATCAGTGCCCATCAGTGGTAGAACTGTTCGGGAATAGTGCGGAGTGTCGGAAAGCTTTAAACTACTACAGAACAGGCATGTCACCTCGTGACCTAGGAGCTTGTGCAGGGCTGGCAACTTCAGAACGGATTGCGGCAGGATGTCCGAGTTCGTCAGTTTGTGTCGAGGCAGAAATGTTCCTTCGTGCTCGTCTGTGTTCGCCCCAGCCTTAGTCACAAGCTGTTGTGTGTTTGAGAGAGCGAAGGGTTTTTCAGTGGGCATTGGCGGGTGGAGAGGCCTTTGTTCCTGTAGCCTTCAGCCGTGGAAACTCCACTACTGTATCAAGGCAGACACGGGTCTTCCAAACTTGCCTGGGGCTTGGACTGCAGCCTTCAGCCTCTGGCACTGTTCCCGGACTTCCTGTGCAATGTCTGCCGGCTGGAGTGGTGGTGTCTTCACGAATCAAAAAACGAGTCAATGGCCTGCAGGCGTCGACACAACCCTGGTGCCCGTGGCAGACCTGCTGGGGCCTAGGGGCAAGACTGGGCACAGGGTAGCAGCTGTATGTCTGTCTTGCAATGACCCAAGTGATCAATACTCTCGCATCCGGTCTTCCGAGACTTCAGCACGGGAGGACCGGGTGTGCACAGTCGTGGACACCACCAAACCATCCTCGAACTACTGGACCTCACGCCTTTGACAGCAGCAATCGTGCCCGGTCAAGCTCAGCTCATCGTTTGTGCGTGTTGCAAGGTCTTAGGCAAATGCTCCAACGTGTAGAGTCGGAGTATGTCGGAGTGGTCAGCTCCCTTAAGTTTTAAGAGGTGGAGCCGGTAAAGCTGCGCAGAAAGCTGAGGTAGAATAGCATCAGTACGCAAGAGCACCGCGGTACACCCCAAAAACCGAAAGCCCGGTTCTCGCGAACTTGCATCCGAACACCTCCAAGGCCTCTTCAACCCAGACCCGGCGAGGTTAAATCACTCTCCCACGCTGACGCCTGGCGTGCTGTGGGCATGGGACGGAGAGGCTCGGCTCTGGGTTGCGGAGGTCTTACACTTATCCATTTTGAACAATTCTGTTTTTTTATCAGAGTTTAGGAGGATTTCAGGAGGCTTCGCTTCTTTGCAAGGAGATCCGGGCAAAAAAACAGCTCGGGTATAGATGTTGACTTACGTCGTTTCGCCATACGTTGGAATGCAGGGTGTCTGACCTCCCATAACATGCTAAAGTGTTGCAAGCTCCAGCTCTTGGCATCTTGTGGCATTGCCTTACCTTGTTTAGGCGCCAACGTGCACTCTCCATCCTAAACCGCCCCGGCACCAGGCCTTGAATCCCAAAGCTCCCGGTCGGCGAAGCCCGAAGCGGAAACCAAAAGCCCTGTTCAAGCGATTTCCATCGATTCCCATGTCTTCACCATTGTTTCCGTTGTTCCCTTCACGGATGTTGGCGCTGTTGGAGTCCTTCTCCTCGAAGTCTCTCTCATTGTCGTGGTCACTGTTGTTGGTGTCGGGCTTTACCAGTTGCGGGTGCGACCTGCTAAACAGGAGGTTTGGATTGCCGTCCTTCTCTTCACTTACTGCGTGGACATCTGTCTCGCGTAGAAAGCTTAAGTGCAGCACCGAATCACCAAATCCTCATCCCCAAATCCTGAACTCCCAGGGCCAGTGCATGGTCATCACGGCTGTGAGAGCGGCCTGGGCTGCATTGCAAGCCAGGGGATGGAGGCTACTATGGATCCTTAGACAAAAGAGCCCACGACTAGGGGTCTCTGTTGGAATCCCAATTGTTGGTTGGTCGTATGCAGGGTTCGGGGCTCCCTTCTTCGCATTTCAGGGAGGTCACTCGCTGCAGTGCTGCACGTTTTTCTTTCGACTTGAGGCGGGGAAGAGTATTGCAGTCTTTCTTTTTAGAGCGACGATGATCCCGAGGCTCATCGAGCTGGTGAGGAGCTCTTTACAACTTACGGGTCGAGGCCGAGGGAGGTTAAGGGGTTGAAGGGCTTGAGGGCACGAGGAGCCGGCATGGAAAGGCTGGGTTCCGGCACTTCACGGTTTAGGGTTTTGGGCCTCAGGGCCGGGTTTCTGGGCTGTGCCAGCTCGGGCGGCAGCATCGAAACCGTCTTTGGGTTGCTAAGAGCACCCACGCAGACCCAAGACTGAAACAATCTGATATCCCGAAGTCTTCAGCAGAGGATCTTAGGGTTGAGGGTTAGTTCTCTCAGGGATATTGCGCCTCCAGCGGATTTTTGGTCTTCCTTCCAGCGAGCTCTACTTCTTACCATCGAACTGGACTCAAAGGGTTTAGGGTTTAGGGTTTTCTGGCTACACTTCGTCATCGACCATTCCACTCCGTCCCAGCCTTTTGACTATCGTCGCTTCGGCTCAAGGTAAGGAGGCCCTGAGAAGAGAGAAGGTCGAAGCTCAAAGATGGCTTGGCCATGTTAAGACCCATCAGAGTTGTGGGAGTTAAGTCTGAAGGCCATGCTCCATAGTTTTGTCGGGTGCTTCACCTGCGCAAGTGGCCACCGTGAAGGGGTTCCAGCTAAGCCGAGGCGGCAGTGAGACAGATCGGTCTTGTTAATAAACGCACGGGGTAGATGCTGAGGCGGCATTGAGAGGTAGGAATCCATGTAGCTAGCAGAAGTACAACAAAGAAGCTTTGAGCTCCAGCAAACTGGGAGCCATGGCTTCGAGTTCCAGCTCCGTTTCTTTCAAGGCCGTCACCTCATGTACTGGTGCTCACTTGGCTGGCAAGTCGAAATCAACAGCCGCAACAGTAAGTTGTTGTATTGTGCCGCCGACGATGAGGGGATCGCATGCAATCAAGTTGAGAGGTTGGTGGGCCTGCCGAGCTGCTTACCGACGAGTTCTGCGGAGTCGGCTTCCCATGTGGGATACTTTGCTGCGATGACTGATGTGGTTCTCAGGTTTCGGGTGCTGTGGAATGTCGGGGTGGTTTGCCACATGACGGTATGCCGGTATGCCAGTAAGTTGGCTTCAGTTTGCACGACCGCGGGCAGTCGTGACAGTTCTGGAGATCGCCGGGGGCGGTCCTCTTGAAGCGGGGTGCCTCATCAAAGTCGCCTTCGGCGACAGGGGCATCGTTGCCTTCACGAGCGGCCAAGCAACAACCAGTCACTGAAGTCGAAGTTCCTACCAATCCGAAGCATGACATGTCTTCCCGGAGCCAGAAAGCCTGAGGTACAAAGCCAAAAATGCCTAAAACCAAGCATGGCTTGAACACGAGCCCGGACCAACCTCATGGGATGCAGGACCGCCTGCAGGCCCTGGAAACTCGGGCAACAACTCATTGGTAACGAGGGGAGGGGCGTTGTTTGAGCCTGCGCCGGGGTGATTCACGTCGTCTTCTGATCGCATCTCTTCGCGTCGGTGTCGACAAGACTTCTTGCGCCTGCAAGAGGAAGCCTGGGTTTCCCGGAGCCTTTTCTTACCTTGCCAGTGTTCTCGTCTTAAACTATCACGCCTCATCCCCTATGCAAGAGCCGTAGCTTGTTGCATCATTGTACCATGTCCTCCACCCTGCCGACTATTTCTTGTGAGTTTTTCGCTGCACCTCTGCTTGGATTTTGTCTTCCGCGTTGTTTGCCGTATTCGCACGAGCATAGGCAGTGCTGCAAGACTGTGCTGGAAAGACCGACTTGAGAACTCGGATTCCGGGTGTTTACAGTAGGGCCTGGAAGCCTGATGATTGTGAGCATCGGGGGTTTCCTGTAAGCCGCGTACAGACCCTTGAACTTGAAGCGCAAAAGCCGCATTGCTGCAAGCGACCAAGAAAGCTGTCGACCCCAACAAGAAGGCACCAGGAGAGATATGATGAGTGCCTCCTATGATGTCGCATGAGCCTGTTGACATGAATGCACCGTACGCAGGCCGCGCGCGAGAAGAAAAAGGAGGACAAGAAAGCGGAGGCTGCTGCGAGGTCAGAGCATGACGTCAATTGTGGCAGAGCCTAGACCAGAGTTAATTGTCCAAGCCCCAGGAAACAGGAGAAGAAGGCGCATAAGAAGGAGAAGCATGCCCTGGACATGTCCGCAGCCAAGCAAGAGGGCCGAGAGGCGCTCGCAAAGGCGGGCTAGACTGTGAAAGTGCGCGTCCTGCAGAAACCTCCGAACAATAGCGCGGTTCGTTACTTGGCAGGCGGAGAAGGCGTGGAAGAAGAAGCTCAACCACGACGCCTGGCTCCAGAAGAAGGAGGAACACGCCAAGCTTCGCGAGGAGGAGAAGCGGTTCCTGTGTTCACTCAGGGTTGTTTCGGCAGTTCTTACCCCCGCGGCCCCGCTTGGGTTCAAGCATACACCACGCAACAGCTGCTTGCTTTTCAAAAACTTTAGCTCTGCTTTTAGCTTTGCATGTGCTTTTTGCCTAGGTCTTGAGCTTTCAGGACTACTTCTCAGCAGCTTTAAGATAACACGCTGTAGCCTCCAGCTTTGCATGGACGTCGAGCCTGCGCCGCATAGCTCCCAGCTACAAGCTGTTTTGCGTGAACTCGACAGGGACGTCCGGCAGTTTGATCTTCGCCTGCTTGAAGCCTGTCTTACCGACGACGTCAGGAGTCTCTGTGATAGGGTTTACGACCTGGAAGCTGAAAGTGCGGCTCAACGAGCGGAAATTTCCCGCTTATACGGCAGGGTCCAACGCCTGGAGAACCAGCTTCACCAAGGTCGCGGCTGGATTCTCCACTTGTCTGACAGGACTACAGCTTTGGAAGAGGCCACTCAGAAACTGGCTATTAAGGTCAGGTCACTCGTGACCCTGCTTCGAGAAACGCTGTCAGAGACGGTGGCGCGCCTCAGAATCTGGTTTTAGCCATGGCCTCTTCTGCTCAGTCTGGTGGTGATGCTCCAGCTTTGCCTTCTAGCAGGGTGGCTACGGATATTCTCCTGGCTGATTCTTCACCTTTCTGCTCTGCCGAAGAAGTTTTGGAGCTTAGGGAGTCTTTTCGCAACCACTTTGCTGATTTTGCGGATCCAACTGACCCTACTCAACCACCTCCTGCTCCAGCACCCACTTTTGAGGTTGCTGGTTCAGATGCAGAGGAAGCTTTTGAACCCAGGAGTAAGCTTCGTCGCCGCTGGCTTCACCAAGCACACTGTGCCCCTGTGACTCCTCCCTTACCTATGGAAAACTCCCCAGGTGCCTCCAGCGGAGATCAATCTTGGCAGCTTATAGAGCAGAACCAGCCGGAGGCCGAGACGCTTTCCTTTGAGGGGTTCACTTCAGGCACTTCGACTTTTCAGATTTTGCCGCTGCGATCCACCCCTCCTCGACCCAGCTTGTCAGCTACGTCGAGGGCACCCACTTGGCGGGCTCCAAGGGTGTGCTTAAGGTACAACTCCCCTTTTCAGGTGGGGCACACCGGGCGTCAGCCTACAGTGGCTCGGCTCCGCCCACGCTCCCCCTTTTCAGCTCCGCTTCAGGCCCCCAGCATTGTACCTGTTCAGCAGTCTATACCACAAAACTTCCCGGCGGCGAAGGCACTGCCGCACTTTCAGGACGCGTCTGCTTACGCAGCATATCCCACGCTTCAGCAGACTCCTGTTCAGGCATCAATCTCCTTGGCGACTCCGCGACCGGTCCAGTCCTCACCGGCAGCTTTGCGAGTGCCCTCGGAACTGCACCCCCCGGCTTTGCGAGCCCCGCCAGCCGGCATGATGACGAGCACGGAAAATCATCAGGCATGCGATGAGCGGAACAAGGCTCTATTCGACCAGCTTTGCAAATCGCATGGGGCCTACAGCTCGGTGCTCCAGCAGCTTGAAAGTAGCCGCGAGGGTGCAGTGATCCGGTCCCGCCTGCTGAACAAGGTTAGCGACACCACAGCCGCCCGCTACCTTCGCTCGGTTCAGCTTTTCTTTTGTGCCTTTGAGGAGCTGGGCGGCAGCATGGAGGCCATAGATCAGGGCCTGTTCCTCGATGCTTTCTTCGCTTTGTCTCGAGGTTCTGATTCAGGCCCCCTTTCGAACAGCATCAACGTCCTCAAGGCGCTGCGGTGGTATAAGAAACTTCTGGCAATCGCTTGTATGCCCGACCTGTATGGCACCGCTTTCAGCTTGCTCTCCAACCCGGCCGGGCAGGAGAAACGCGAGAGTATACCTCTCCCTTTGTCGTTCGTCGCTTTTCTTGAACGCATGCTCCTGTCTGGCAAGGCAAGCTTTATGGACATGATCTGGGCAGGATCGTTCCTTGTGGCTATTGGTGCTAGCCTCCGCTTTGCAGATGCACAACACATTCGCTGGAGCACGCTTTGCGTTAGCAGCTTCACTTTGCGAGGAATCTGCTACAGGACAAAGACCACTAAAGGGGGATGCCCATGGGGCCTCCTCAGCTTTGGAGTCTTCTCATCCTCCGAGGAATGGGGCATGACATGGCTTCCCCACTGGCTTGGGGCACTGGACACAGTATGGCGCGAGGTTCGCTCCCGCTTTGGGCCACAGCCGGAACCCGACTGTCTGTTTTTCCTTTGGAGCGATACCGGCTTTGCACCCGCATCCTACTCCCAAGCCCTGCAGAAGCTTCGCTACATGCTTACACTCTCTGGTATAGCACCAGCTCAGGCAGCACAATATACGCTTCACAGCCTCAAGACCACCTTTCTGTCTTGGATGAGTCAGCTGTCTATACCGCTCTCTTCCCGCTTCCTGCAGGGGCACCACAAGGCTCCAGGGTCAGCTCAACTTTACTCGCGGGACGACGTGTGGCCAGCTTTGCGTGCACAGTGGCTGCTTTGGCGTTCAATACATGCCGGCTTTCGTCCCGCAAGACCACAGCACAGAGGCGGCCAGTCCCCGCTTGTTGAGCCACTTGTGGACACTGCAGGTTTCCAGTGGGCGGAGCACTGCCCGGACCTCCACTGCTTTTCAGTTGGCAACGATTGTCAGTCCTTCTTAGCCCTGGAGCAGCAGGATGGCGACCTCCGTGACGCCCGGGAACGCGTCTCTTCACTTTCCGGAGCCAAGCTTCCACCATGTGTTCGCACCCGTGCCCAGGTCGACCACTTCGATGACTCCGACGCGGACGAATCAGGCCCGGCTCGTGCCGCTTCCAGCGCTCCCCGCGATCCGGAGGTCGATCCCACATGGCAAGATGAGTCCGGTGAGGCACCCAGCCTTTCACCCAACCCGCAGCCGCTTGCTGCCCCGCCCGCTGAGGGTCTCCGCTCTAGCTGTACAGAGGTACGATACCTCCTGGGAGCCTCTGGGGTGGCACACTCTTGCATCTCCCACCCCGGCTCCCGTATGACGTGCTTGGCATGCAGGGATCCTTCCTGTTCAGTACGATGCCACCCCGCTTGTGGTTGCATCTCGGAATTTTCACCTTTTGTCCATTTTCCGCCCGACTCCCGCTTATGTAAGCGGCGGGCTTGTATCATGGCCTCCCCTGATGCAGCTTGAGTGCGGCCAGCAGTTAAAAATTTTGACGTGGGTGCACTGCATTTGACCTGCATCAGCTTAGAGATGCTGCTAACTTGCTGAACTGAGTGCTACAGCTTCATGTTCATCGCTTTCTTAGCTCGAGATGCGCTTTAAGCCCACTTTCTTGCCTCCTTGGGTCATGGCGAAACTTTCCCCTGAGTACGCCTTCACACTCCTCAAGACCATGACTGACGAGGAGAAAACCCGCTTCCTCAAGCAGCTGGAGAACGATCCGCTTCTCCCCGCATCCACTACGAGCTCATCTTCGGTGGAGGCACCCGCTGTGCAACCAGTCGCAGCACTTATGGCAGACCCCATAGGGGAAAACATCGCCGCCGAGGATTACAGCTTACCTTCAGTGGAGCCAGCAGCTTCACCGTCACCTCCGGCCAAAGCGGCACCCGCTTCTGTTACAGCGGACAAGCCCGAGGCCACCAACGACGACGGTGCACCCGCTTCCAGGACCCCTGCAGATGGCGACGGGGGCAACACCGCCACTGGTGGCGGAGGCGATGGTGTTGCCAACGCAAAGCATTGGCAACGGGAACCCGAGGTGAAAGAACCGCCGCCACGGCCGCCCTCTTCACCAAAGGCGAGTCCTTCAACACCGGCTCCGACTGGCCCTCCGCTTAAGGCCAAGAGTGTGGCATCACCTCCGAAGCCCGCTTCGGCCTCAGGTGCACCGGCCGCACCGACTCCCAGCGCCCCTCCTGCGGCCAAGGAGAAAGCTCCTCCACCTCCGCTTGCAGAAACTGGGGCCACCGACGGCAATGCGGGCACTGCAAGAGAGGCAACGCCCGCTTCCACTACGCCAACGCCCGCTTCGGCTACGGCTACGGCTACTCCGTCGGGCAACAGGGCCCCACTTCTGGCGAGCGAGGCCCCGGCGAGCCGCTTGGGGCACACCATCTACGACGGTGAGGGGAACCCCACACTCCAACTAGTCCAGCTTTGGGCATGCCGTAAGCAGTGCTCCCAATGCTCGCTTGGTCACTGCCAGGCTACCTTCAGCGACCGCTCCAACAGCTACCACACCACCCACTTATGCAGAGACTGTAAGCGGGCTCGTGGTAGAGAGCGTCAAGAAGCCGCTTCTCAATGGAGCCAGGGCTATGAAGAGTGGGGCCAGAACCAGTCCGGCTGGGACGATCAACCCGCTTGGGGATCCTGGAATTGGAGTGGCCGCAACTGGCAGCACCAATGATGCTTTTGCCCCCGCTCCATGCTTATGCCGGCTTTGGCATTGAATCGCCCACTTTTGGGCTTGCCCATATAGATCAAGGGCAGCCCCGCTTGGGCTTGTGGGTACAAAGCACCCGGCTTCTCCGAAGCCAGACATACTCGAGCTCCGCTTCCCGCTTGAAAAATCCAGCAGAGCCACACTGCACACGCTTTGGATCAGTTCACGCTTTGAACTTGTGGCTTGTTTCTCACTCTTGTTTCCCGCTTGGATCAAGAAAGACTTCCGGGCCTCCCCCGGCTCTGGGTATCCCGCGCTCCCACGTTACAGGCCACAGATGCCCACTTGTCGTCATTAGCAACATGCTTCCCTGCTGCAGGACCACTTCGGGCAACGCTTCATCCTCAGTTTCAGTTCTTCGCCTCCTTTCGGTAGCATGTGCACTTGCTTCAGGTCAAGCGAAGATGTCTGACTTCACGCAACTAGTGGCCGACTGCAATGTGCCAGCAGCTGTCGCCTCCCTGCTTTCAGCATTCGATGTTGCTTTGTTTGCCCGGTCCTGCACCACTTCGGCAGAGCTTGAAGAGTTGGTGAACCACTTTCTGGCTGAAGCCTCAGTTACTGATGCAGCTGAGCGCTTTATCACCAACGCTTCGCTTCGCTTGCTTTTTTGCAAATGCCGAACGTCAGAGGGCATGGCATCCTTGGAAGCCGCTCCCACTCCCACCACACAGCTTGGGGACGGGCTTCCAGCTGCTACCCCGGCTCCCCCGGCCACGCCTCCACTTTCCAGCTCTTGGCAAGAGGCTTGGCCTGCGAAGCTGAGTGGGGAGCGAACCGCGGCGCTTAGGAAGAGGTTCGAGGAGGACTACCCCACTGAACTTCTTGACGCCGAGAGCTTTCCAAGCGCCCGCTTATTGGCCCTCACCAATAAGATGCTTTCCGACAAGGAGGTGCGATGGATTCCTTGGAAGTACCGCTTAAGCGCTCGTGCTCAAGAAGACAGTCTCCTCGTTCGGCCCAGGAAACAGGCCCGCTTTGACCTAACAGAGCTTTTTCTGGACGAGGCACCTACACGTGACATACATGAAGGCCCCGCTTCCTTTGGCCTCGTCACTCAGCTTCTGTCACTGGCTGCTAATGCCATTGCGCTCTGTCAAGGTGCACATCTGGGCTCTCTGAAGCTTTATAATAAACGCTTCATGAGGATCTGCTTCACGAAGTACGAGGCCGCCGCCAGCTTACGAGGTCCCACTACCATGGAAGCCCAGGCCGCCGACCGCCGCTGTTGGGAAATCATCGCCGACTTAGTCAATGTGCACCACTGGAAGTTGGACGATGCGCTTCACGAAGTGGCCGAAGTGCGCTCTGACATGCACAGCCTGCTTGCACCAAGGCCCTTCATTCCCAAACCTAAGTTCGACCTGGACAACAGCTGGAAGGCCCGCTTTACAGGCAACGGTCGAGGCAGCAAAGGCGGTGGCCGCGGCGGCAAAGGCCGTGACGGCAAAGGCGAGAAGGGCGAGCGCTTTGAGAGAGGGGGTAAAGGTGGCAAGGGCAAGGACAACAAGCAAGCCACCCCCCCCGGCAAGTGGCTTTCCACCCTCTTCATGGATGGCAAACGTCAGACGCTTTGCATGAGGTACCAGAGCGGGCAGTGCAAGGACCCAGCCACATGCCGCTACTTGCACAGATGCGCAGTGCCTAAGAGCGACGGCACAGCTTGCGGAGGCAATCACCCAGCTTCGCAACATGTTGCCACCCCGCACTAGGAAACCCACTTCAGCGAGCTGCGGGACATCGCTGAGGAGGTCACGACCGTCCCGCTTAGTGTGCCGGCACAACCGTCAGGCTCAGCAGGGGCCACTTCGGCACTGCCCAAGGCACGTGCCCCAGTCTCCGATGCAGCATCGGCACTCAGTGAAGGCTCACTCGACTTCGCTACTTGCTTGGAGCTTCTAGCGCAGTACTTTTCCATTCCCTTCGCTTCTTCCCCTCACTGCCCTGACAATGCCATTGCAGTCTCTGAAGCATATTTCAATTTGGGGGCTTTCGCTTTTGACAATGGCGCCAGGTCGGGCATCTTTCAGCGTACTGAGCAATTTTCAGACGTCCTTCGATTCTTGAACGCTTTTATGCAGCTGCAGTTCCCCGAAGCATCATGGAGCTCCCTCTGCGTCAGCCACAACGTTCGCACCCGCTTACACACAGATTCTGGCAACGCTGCAGGGTCTCTGAATCACACAGTTTCAGTTTCACTTGGCAACTTCAGCGGCGGCGAGGTTTGGCTTTGCCCCGCTTTGAACCAGGCGGCTTCTCAGGTACCAGCCCCCTTGGATGCCTCATCCGAGGCGCACAGTGCATCTGAAGCGGGTACAGGCGAGGTGCGCGACACTTGGCACGCTCCGCTCTCCTTCAGCTGTGAAACACTTCACTGTACGCTTCCGATACAAGGAGACCGGTGGGTATTGACTGCCTACACTTGCAAGAGCCTAGACCGCTTTGATGCAACGTCCCTGGCACACCTGAGGTCTCTGGGCTTCCCGCTGCCGCCGGCAACCCCAGGCCACCCGCAGTCAATACATCCCCCGCTCAAGGACACGACATGTGTGGAGCTCTTCCTGGACATATGCTGCGGGGCCGCTCACCCACTTACCACGGCGATGTCTTCATGCGGCATCACTTGTCTGCCCATAGATATACTGGGCGAGGAGCAACTCGACCTGCTCAACGACGACACCTACGACCACTTGCTTCGGCTGTGCTTTGCTGGTATTGTCCGCTTAGCTCACGGATCGCCGCCCTGCAAGGAATACTCCCGCTTGAAGCTTCGTCCAGGTGGACCCCCAGCCATTCGATCGCCGGATCACCTTAATGGCCTGCCAGGGAACACCGCTTCACAGCAGGCTAGAGTACAAAACAGCCAGAAGCTTCTATATCGTTGCGTATGCCTTCTGAGAGCAGCTTTCTGTTCAGGAGCGCATGTATCCCTGGAACAACCCACTAACGCTATGTCCTGGCTTGAGCCTTTTGTTCAGGACATGCTTTCTGAAATACAAGCTTCACTGGTCAACATCCCGGCATGTTCAGTGGGACAGGATATAGCCAAATCTTGGCTTTTCGCTTGCAGTTACAGTGAATTCCGCTGTTTGGCAAGCACATGTTCACATGCTGGAGGCCATCAGTCCGTCGCAGGAGCCAGGGACGAACACGGGAACTTTTTGTCTCAGCGAACGGCGGAGTACCCGGCCCAGCTTGCCGAGAAGTTTTCAGAAAAAGCAAGGCACTTGTTTTCTTCGGCAAGACCCGCTTATTCGGTGGCACCCTGCTCCTTGAAGTTCGCACTGGCCTCAGTTCCCAAAAAGCCGCGTTCCTCAACGCCCACAGCAGCACAGGATGGCGGGGGCATCTATTCTCTGCCCGACTGGTCCCTGGGCCCAAGGTATCAGTCCGACAGCTTACACGACCTGCGAAAGGAATGGCAATCCTGGTTGCTTCAAAACAGAATTCCCCTCAGGCTCCAGCAACACGTTGCCGAAGCCAGCAATAAACCTCTTTTTACAGAGGAAGAAACGGAGTGGCTTCGTTCTTCTTTCAAGCGCTTTTCTGATGCTCACTCCCCGTGCCAGGACTGGAACTTCTCAGTGCAAGAAGGCCAACCCTACTGCTTGTCGGCACTGGAGCGCTTGAGTACTATGCTGGGTGACAAGGACACTTCCCTCTTCCCAGCTTTGCAGAAGGGCGTACCTACGGGGTTTGATGGCGACATCCCCCGCAGCCATACACTCCGTCCTCGTGATCCCAACAACTCAGACGAACCCGCTGACCTGCTTGTCTGCGAAGGCAACTGGCAGGGGGCCGAGGCAGACCCGGCACTGCTTCAGGAGTTGATCGAGGAGGAGATTTCGGCCGGCTACATAGAGGAAGTTCCCAGCTTGGAGGCTGCTTACGAAAGGTGGGGCAAGGAACGTGTTGCAGTGGGCCGTGTGAACATTGTCAAGGCCCCCGGTCGCTCTGCCCGCTTGGTGATAGACAACAGCATCTGCAACACGAATCAGAACTGCCATGTGCCTGAACAGTTCTCCTTGCCCAGCCTCCAGGACATTCAGTCCGCTTACCCTCCGAGGGAGGACGAGGAGCCGATCTCGGGTTTCAGCTTGGATGTGAAGGGAGCGCACAAAACTTCACTTGTGCGCGAGACAGACAGAGGCCTGCTTGGACTGAGACAACAAGAACGCCTCTTTTTCTACCGCGTCTGTCCCTTCGGGGCCACTTTTTCGAGCCACTGGTTTGCCCGCTTAGGGAGCTTTTTTGTGCGCTGCCTTCACCTACTTATCTGGTTGTCACACGTCCTCATGCTGTACGTAGATGATTTGCTTCTCTGGCAAAATTCTCGTGCACTTCCGCTTAGTGCTTCTCTGGTTTTGGCATTCTGCGCCTGCTTCAATATACCGCTTAGTTGGCGGAAATTGCAGATGGGGCCCTCTATAACCTGGATAGGGTGGCAAATCGACTTCAAGGCTGGCTGTTACACTTTACCGGAGCTCAAACGCTTGAAGCTGCTTGGCCAGGTGGAGGAATGTCTTCGGCACCGACTTGTCAGCCGCAAACAGCTGGACAAACTGCTAGGTCTGCTTCAGTGGATTTTACATGGTCTCCCCGCTTTACGCCCCTGGCTATGCACTCTGTATGATGACATGCATAGACCACTTGGCACCAATGTCAGCATCAGCCCAGTCGTTTGGCCAGGCATCCACTCTTACTTGGACGACAAGCTTCGCTTCACAGGTTGCCCCCCGGGCACGGGCATTTCACCTGGCTCAACGCTGCTTTCTGCTCGGCATAAGCCCCTTCACAGTAAGGCAGACCTGGCTTTAGTCCCCGTAAGCACAAAGCGCATGTGGCTCCGAGTCACGGACCCCACTTCCTCCAAGCGGCGCTTATCTGAGTCCAGCAGAGAAACCCTTGCCTTCTTTGCCCACTTGAGCTCCAGGGACTGGCGGCCCAGGCCACTTCGTCCACCACCTACCAGCCGCAGACGCTTTCGGCAAGGGCAATGATTGCGGCGTGGGAGGATGGCTCCTCCTCCCCAGTGGTCGCCTGCTTTGGTTCGCTCACCGCTACACTGTCAAAGACTTCCTGGACTTAGGTCTGCCCATGCAACCAGACGCCAACTTGGACATCTCCAGCTACGAGACATTGGCACAGTGCTTTGTGCTTTTGGCTTTTTGGAAAGCCCATGGTTCCGGTCGCTTGGCTTTGACATTACCAGCTTTGAGCGATAACAGTGGTGCAGAGTCAGTGTGTAATAAGCTTTACACCTCCAAAGTACCACTTAATCTTTTTGTTCGCAAGCTTTCGATGTGGAGCTCGATTACCGGTGTCACTCTGGACTGCAGCCATATAGCTGGGGAGAAGAACGACGACGCAGACCTGCTTTCGCGCTGGGACGGCCTCACCGAACTTCCAGACAAGTTCCTGCCGTCAAACCGCATCGAACTCTCGCTTTCTGAGTTCTGGCTCATACGCTTTCAAGTGACACTTTTTCCCGCTGACGTATTTTTAAAATGGCAGCTTCCGTCAGCTGCCAGCCTGGGCCCAACAAACCGTGGCTCCAATAAGCGCAAGTAGCACTGCTTTCTGCTTCCTCACCTCACTTCTCCACTTGGCTTATTTAGCTTCTTGCGAGGTTTCGGCTTGCCAGTTTCTTGCTCGGGCTTTTCGACTGCTCCGCTGCTTCAACTCAGCTTTCTATCCGGAAGGTCAAAGACCCCGGATGCTTTCAAAGACAGAGCAGTCGAGTTTCCGGCAAGCCGAAAGAAAAAGGAGAGAAGTGCGAGTGAAGCCACTGTTGACTTTTGCTTTCCGCTTTGCTCCGCAGTAGCCTCGTAGCCTTTTGGTGTTGCGTGGTGTAGAACTGTCCTGAACGGTTCCTGTGTTCACTCAGGGTTGTTTCGGCAGTTCTTACCCCCGCGGCCCCGCTTGGGTTCAAGCATACACCACGCAACAGCTGCTTGCTTTTCAAAAACTTTCCCACCCGCCCACACCTTTTGGGCAGCTTTTCAGCGCAGGGAGCTTTTCAGTCATACAGCCCGCTAACGCACATCTTACGGCTTTCGCTTTTTGCTGTTACTTCTATCCGCTTTGATTCTGCTTTAGGCTTTTGTGCTAAACGATACGGGCTTTTCGACTGCTCCGCTGCTTCAACTCAGCTTTCTATCCGGAAGGTCAAAGACCCCGGATGCTTTCAAAGACAGAGCAGTCGAGTTTCCGGCAAGCCGAAAGAAAAAGGAGAGAAGTGCGAGTGAAGCCACTGTTGACTTTTGCTTTCCGCTTTGCTCCGCAGTAGCCTCGTAGCCTTTTGGTGTTGCGTGGTGTAGAACTGTCCTGAACAAAACCAGGCCGCAAGCCGTGGAGCTGTGTCCGACATCTATTTTTTGCTGCATAGCCTTCATAAGATCCGGCAGGCGGCGCCCCAGAAGCTCAAGGACGTGCGGGAAGTCAGCCGACAGAATGCGGCCAGTTCCGGGGCCCGCAAGCAAGGCCTGAGGCAGAAATCCACCGGCAACACAAGTCCTGCGTAACTTGCATGGCTCAGGCAAGCCGCTGCCTTTCCCGGCTGCAGCGGCCGGAGCTGTGCGCAAAGGCCGTGGGGGGATGTAGTCTCAGATGAAGCAAATATGCGGAGCCGCTGCTTGTGACAGGTGCCGCGGCTAAGAAGCGGGCTTTCCTCGACGAAGAATTCCCCGAGGCTGGGGCCGGAGCCTCAGACTTGTTGAGGGCGGACTAAGGGCCCTCTGCAGGAGTTTGGCCAGCTCTTAACGAGCCCTCATCTTCGAGTCTGCAAAACCTTGCAAGGACCAAAAACACACAGGAATTTCACTCAGCCCGACTGCCTTGAAAGGCTCGGTGGATCAAACAGCACGCGGACGGTTGTGTACCTCCGCCGCCGACGAACGAGGACTCTGGTTTGCGTTTATCGTGTTTGTGGTTTAAGTAAGGATTCGAGCACTGCAGTTCAAGCCGCGATTCAAGCGCTGGTGATTCAGGCACGGTGTTAGTCACTCGCGATTCCAGCGCCTGCCATACACCACCCCTGCAGCACTGTAATCCCCTTACTCCGTTTGCAGTTTCTGTGGCTATCTACGTTCCTGGTCAAGGTTTTTCGGCGTCGCCGTCTCTTTGGGATCTCGACCTCGCCTTGTAGTTTTGAGATGTTTCCCCTCCACCTCAGGTGTCTACTCCCCGAAGTTTATTCACCTGGGCTATCTTTGTGGCTTTCCGAGCATGGGGCCGTCCTCTCGTGTCCTTGACCTTCCTGGGCTCCCCTGCTGGGTTTGGGGTTTAGAGGTCTCGCTTTTTAAGCTGGGGGGTTTGGTTATTCGCAGTCAGCATCTCCTCACGTTTTCGCCGCCCACCGCCCCATTGCCATCGTGCGTGTCCTTTCGCGGCTTGGGGTTTGCGAAACGCTTCGCCCGTTCGTCGGATGCCCTGGTCCTCACCTCCTTCCGCGAACTTGCAGTGGCGAAGCTCTTGTCAGTGTTTCTTCCGATCACTGGATGCTCAAAGCGCCAAGAATACCACGGCCGCGTCAGGAGTGCTACGACTTCATGCGGCAGCTCGTGGCGCCCATGATGACGTTCCACGAAGATCCTGACCTTGAGTTCTCCGTGCACCAAATCGGAGGGGAAGAACTTTTGACACAGTCTTCAGGGTTGCCCGTCTCTAGTTTCCCCCAAATGTAGCAGACGCACGAGCGATTCCTATTGTGGCAGGGGGTCATTCCAGAAGAGAAGGCCCAGCCAGGGCACTTCTGCCTCAGGGCTCACGAACTTGCGATCATCAGGAACATGACGACGTCCCTCCAGCTCATGTCGGAAGTGGATGTGGGACTTTCATGACATAGGGGACACTACCACAGACCTTAATATCATCCATATTTTGATGACCTTGAAGGGAGATTCCTACATGCACGAAACCCTATGTGGATATCATGGTCGCTGGCCGAGCACAATGTGGGACGTCAAAGGTTCCTGTTCCTTCAGCTGCGACGCTTGAATGGCGGAGCGGTGGCTGCACGAGTGCACGAGTAGCAAGATGCTTAGGATGATGCGAGGGTATAAGTGTGCAGACTTCGAACCAGCCGCACAACCACTGCACCACCGCCCCTTTTTGATCAACATTTTGCTAGCTTGCTCTTTTATCATTTTTCTATGGCTGTACTTGTAAAGCTTGTGTAGTTCATCGCGTGTTGGTCTTGCCGTTGGTGCGTGCCAATACACCGATACACCGATCCGACTTGCTTGCCGATATGCTCACCGACACGCCGATGGACCGTGTGCCGATGCACCGCTGCTCTGATACCCTGTCCGTGCTCCGACACCGATATCCGGCCTGCGTGCTGACAGACCGTTACAGCGACATCCGGGCCACGCGGCGATACAACGATGCACCGATGTACGCCGATACATGTGAAATTTATTGTGTACTCAGTTCGGCTTCAGCTGCCACTAGTAGCACTAGTAGTGCTGCTGCTGCTGCTGCTGATGCAACAACAACAACTACGACGACGTTTTCTACTACCACGACGACTACTCCTCCTCCTCCTTCTCCTACTGGACTACGACGACGGCGACTGCTACTGCTACCGCCACTGCAACTGCCGCTGCCACTTGCCGCTGCCACTGCCATTGCCGCCTCTGCCATTGCCTCTGCCCTGTGCCTACTTGCAGGGGGCTGCCGGAGTACAAGTTGTTGTGGTAGTCGGACAAGAACAAGGACTTATTTCACCAACCCAAGACAAGATCAACAAGCGCTTCAGCAGGTCAGAGCTGTTGTAGCTGATTTTCCAGCTGTTTTGCGGTATTGAAGAGTTGATTGTTGGCATGGGCACCCTTGTAATCATGGTCACTGTGGTTGAAACGGTGCGGTGTGTGTGTGTGTGTGTGTGTGTGTGTGTGTTTGTAAACTGTTCTTTGGGTATTGAAAAGATGGGTACGACAGCTAGAAACACCGTGCACTGCTATCTCAATCTGATCTGCCGGACGGCCCGTTGACAACGATAAGTGACCAGACGCTCAAGATCCGACGCAGGTGGCTTCCGTAAGCAGGTAGCTGGTAGCTTCAGCCCTACTCGAAGCCTAGAGCCTGACCGCGGCTGCCAATGACCCCGTTCGCACGATTGCTGCTGTTGGGCAAAAAGCTGTTGGCATACAAAGGAGCTTTAGATTTCTGTGGCACTGAGTGGGCCCAGTGCAGGTCGAACATGCTGCTCTACAGGACTTACGGCAGCGCCCAAAGCAGTCTGCTGATCCTGGCATGGGGTGTTTATCCTCGGGATTAAAGCTACAACTCATTGCAGGCTTGCGAAGTCCTAGACCCGAACTCTCTCCAAGCACGCATTCGAACAGACCCTTCGCCTAAGCTTTGGAGTGGAAACCCGCAGTTGTCCAACGGGATAGAGCGAAGGCTTTACCTTGCACCCGAAGGAGGAGCCCAGTTTCACGCCTGCTTCCCAGCGCCTTCTATTCGCAGGAGTCTGACTGTTGGGTTCGATTGGGCATAATCATTAAACGTATTGCCCGTTAGGTTTACCGGGCATATTCGCTTGGGCGCGGCTCGACGGTTCCAAGGTATATTATTCGGCCACATATTGCCTGGAGCCAAGAAGAGTTATCTGTCTGGTGTCGTAAGTGGTCGGGCGTTGCATGCACCTCGAATCGAAGGCCATAGTGTGATGAACAGCTTATCGGGCTACCGAAAGCCCTGAAGTAAGATCCGTCGCAGAGTTGTTCATGACAGTACTTTGTGAGATTTCTTTGTCGTGCCTCTTTGCTCCGATGACGTGCAAACTAAGATCTGGTAGAATCCGTAGTGTAAACCCCAAACCCCGAACCGAAACACAGAACTCGTGAGCGCCGAAAGCTCCAAGACCCAGGTACGGCCGGTCATGAAGGTTTTCTGGGGCCACGAAGAAGCCAAGCCGCGCTCTCGGAGACATCGGAGACTTCGCCGTGGCTCCCTCCCCTACTCGCTTGTTTTAGGTCTCCATGCGGATACTGCAGCAAAGAGGCTGAGATTATCAAGAGATCCAAAAACACGAGCCGTCGAGGGATGGTTGCGAAAGACTGGTTTGCCCTGGCAACAACTGACAACAACAGAGCTTTGTTGTGCACGGAGTTACTCACCCTCTGCCCGAACTCTTGCAATGTCTGCTTCATGTGGAATTGACTCGGGGGGATCCTGGGGTTGGGTGAAGCTCCTCGATCCGACTGTTGCCTTCCAGACCGTGGGATCAGAGATTTTAGAGCATCCTGGCTACGGACGAAGACTTGACCCAGCGCATGGTCTCTGCGAGCTCTTTTCCCAGGTTGTCCGGCGCTCCTGGAATGCTTCAGCTGTGTATGCAGGATGCCTTTCGAAGCAAGCTCACTTTCAAGGACCTGTTGCGTCTGTTGGCCCCGCAGGAGGTGACGGTTCCTTCAGGTGAGTTCTGAGTTGTCTCTATTCGTTCGCGTTGGATTTCCGTGCACGATGACAAAGTTCTTCGGCACCTCGTCTTCCGTGCAAGGAGTGCCTATCTCCTAAATGCGACATCGCAACTACCAGAACTACCGCACTCCTAATCCTAGAACGCCGCTGTTTGAATCCCGGAATGCCGCTGAGGCCTCTGATGCTTCTCGAATCTTCTCACATCGACGACAGTTTGTGCAAAGCCAGGCTCCCAGTTTACGGGTATGAGGACTGGGCCTAGGATTTGGGACAGAATGGGGTGGCCCTGAGCCTTAACAGTACTAACTCTAGCAAGTCTTGATCCTCGAGTACCCTTAACTGCCGTTATCGAATTCATCCTGATTGATTTTCGTATTTTTCGACATTGTCATTGCTTTTACATCGCTGCTGTTCCTGTTTTCGCTGGTCGGTGCTGAAGCGCCACTGCAATCGCAATTGCTTGTGTGGTGAAGTGGCACAGATGCCGGTGGTAGTATCACTCCCGCTGCCGTACTACGATTACTTGTGATGCTGCATGTCATGTTGCTTTCGTGGCTGCTGTCTTTCTATTTGTAACGGTCCCACGATTATGTCTGCAAACTGTCGAATGTCATGGCTCAAGTTGTAAGGGTTGCAATGGCACATGGATCTCGGAGTCCTGGGATAGTGGAAGTTGTTGTTTCGCGTTAGCATTTTCAACCTCCTAAAGACCCTGCCCTGCACGTCCCATCCTCGGCCCGACCCAGGACCCTTCTTTGCAGAGACCTCTTAGAGTTACACCACTCAAACGGCACCGGGAAACTCTATAGACTCCAGATCCCGCAGCCTCGTGCTTCGTGCTTGAGCAGCATGCCGCCTTCCTTGACGCCAAGCGGTGCCCCTTCTCCAATTGAAATATTCACATTCCGGGGCCTGATGCTGGTTGCGGCTGTTGTTTGGGGTTCAGGTGTTTCTCTTTAAGCCGCAGCTCGGTCTGGGTGATGCCGCTGGCAAAGGCATGAACATCTGAGGAGATGGGTCTGAGAACCAATCTTGTGTTGAAATAGGCTTTAGAGTATCGGAAACTTCAGGGTTTAGGAGTTTCAATTCTGACGATGCAGGGGCATCATCGTCGCAAGCCTGGATGCAACAAAAGGCCACAGACTGCATCGGTCCAGGAGAACCGCATGGCCCTGCTATGTTTGATCGAGGAGGATGCCAAATTTGTCACATGATTCCCCATTGATGTCTTCCAAATTTCGAACCCTTCATCCCAAAAGCAAATCCTCAAATCCTCAACCCTCGGAAGGGTTCTCCGTCTTCCCGCCGAACAAACCCAAAGCCGTAAGACAGGGGCCGAATGGCTTCAGCGCCACGGCGCGGGCATCCCCCAGGGAGAAGAGCGGCAGGCCCACTGCGTTCCCGTGTGCTTTCTTTGTCATCGAAGTCGTCCCAGTCTGGCATTGCTTCTATGTATTTCCTTTCGGTGGGGGACACTGGCGACCAGACTATGATTGTGAGTTTTCCATCCATCCAAGGTTCAGGGCCTTTTCTGGGAATTGATATTTTTTCCTACCAGCTGCAGCTTGGGGCTTGCCATGCATCCTCTGCAGATTTGGGCTTCGCGCTTGGCCCCGGAAAGCCCCGGACCTTTCGCAGTTTGCCTCAGGCCTTGGCAGCCTCCCTGACCCTCGGCTGTGGATTAATGTGGGGTTTTCTGGTTTTTGGGTTTTGCTGGAGGTAGTTTTCTTTTAAATTTGTTTTTAAAGCGATTTCGGTGATATTAGTCTTTGGGTAGTTTTTAAGGGTCAGGGCCCGGAGGACGGGTTTGGGCTGGGAGCATAGTGAGATGAAAATTGTTGCAAAGGCTTAGAGCATCCTGCAAGCAGCACGGTGTATCTGGCTCTGTGTCCTTGTTGAAGCAGTTACGCTGCGCTGCTGGTGTGGCCAATATGTGGGTGGTTGTCAAAATTTGAATTATGGTCCCTTTTTGGGTCCTTAATATAGTACGGCACCCAATATTAGGGTACCCAAAAAGGGACCATAATTTTGACAACCACCCACTTGTACAGCAGCCAGAGCACCGAGTCCTGTTTAGCGGAAGGCCGCACGCTTGTTTTCTTTGACGAGGCCTTGAGACCTCCTCTGGCAAGTCCGAGTTGTGAGAGCGTGCTATTGCAGTATAGGATGGTATCGTATGGCACGGTACAGTATAGTATGGTATAGTCTAGAATAGTAAAGTACAACTGGGACCGCTTAAAGACCTCCTCAAAGACTACCCTAAGGACGAAGGAGCTTGAGATGCAGGGCTTTCCGAGGGCCAGCGTCGAGGAGGAGGCCGACGTAAGTGAGGAGCCTTAGTGGGTTCCTTTCAAGGGGTCTATAATGGTATCTATACATGATCTATGAGGGTACTGTCCTGATATAGGGTTCCTTTAAATCCGGGTTCTCACAAAGGGTCCCACTAGGGTTACTGTAAGGGTATTATGGAGGTGTATTTTGGGGGCCTAAATGGTTACCCATACTATTTTGGGGAATCCTTATTATCAGTATGATATAATGGCCCCAAAGCACCATTCCAATTATTAAGGCCTCCATATTATCCCTACTGTTACAGCTGTTCTTCTTCTTGTGACCATTGCTAGCATTAAAGTCATCATTTGGCGAGCGATATGTGCTTTTTGCTGGCATCAAATCTCAAAGCTTTGTCAGCAGTAAACCCTTTGTATTCAGTTCATTAAGTGGTAAACAGTTCCAAGCATGCAGGAGGCAATTGCTCGTACAGCAAGACTAGGTGCAGACTAGAGTGGATAGAGTCTCGCTCAAGATGGCAGGAAGATCAGCGATCAAGCCGGTCCCGGAATAATGCGAGCACAATATCATTATCGTATGGAGACAGCCTGCTCAAGAAAACATGCTGATAGTATGGAACAGCAATGGTACTAGAACCATGTTCATTCCTTGGCCATCTCCGCGGCTGTGAGTCCTGTAAGCTTGCAGGTCTCCCAGTTTATGGAAAAGGGCCGCGTATCAGCCACGAACTTGGACCGCCTCCAGCGCCGACTCCAACGTCTCTCGGTCGAGTTTGGTGATTCCAGCGGGGCTATGTACAACAGCAGGGAACTAGATAGCAAAACGACTTAATGACAATCACGTGCAACAGCTTGTCTTGTTCTGCTATACAGTGGCGCGGTGACATGCACATAGACATGCAATAGCACCTGCAGAAATCTAAAATATACAAACCACATGTAGTGTGTGTATACTTGTGTATCAATCTGTCGAAATGCACCCTCATATAACTAATGGGTACATGCATTTACCAAACAAACACACAGACAAACACATATGTATACCCTCAGCCAGGCAGGCAGACAGACAGACAGACAGATAAACAGAAAGATGGATAAGACAGTGAGTCAGTTAGTCGGTCAGATATTTACACAGACAGGCAGGTGTGTAGACGGAGAGTACATCAAGCATACATGCATGTCCGTAAGCAGGCACACAAAGATGCAGAAAAAGAGTTGTACACACACATCCATCCGCCCAAACACACTGAAAAACATGCACATAATGCATACATGCCTGCAGATGTACATGCGTACAAATGTGCCCCCACACCTTCCTACGAACGTTTGTGCGTAAGAATTGAGACAGCAAGGAACAGTTTGTTGTGAGTTTGTTGTGGCTGTAGTACGCACAATACTCAGAACAGAACTGCATTAAAGGAAAGGCTTTCCTTCACGTTTCTCCACATGCTACAGTTCTCTATGGAGAGGCTGTATAAAACTATGACCTGCGGCATTGCCGACATGCCAACATGTCATCAGCATGTGCCAGGTGCTTGGTTGGTACTGCACCATGCTGTGCATGCTATGTCATGGTAGACAGCACGGTTTCATTTGGCGCAGACATGGAAGTGTTCTGGTTCTGGAAATGCCTGCGGGGTTCTGGCGCCCAAACGTTTTCGCCTGCGACGCTTCTGCCTATTCGGGCAACGGCTGTCCAGCGAAGGTTCTCTTCGACAAAGCGAGCCGCCTGCAGAAGTGACATCGTGGCCTGTCGTCAGGAGATGCGGTAGGATCCGTGAGGTTCCCTGATGGGTTTCAGTCTTGTAGTTGTGCTTCGGGAGTGCAGGAAACCCCTCGATAGTGCAGGAAATCATCGTAGAACCACGCAGGTCCAGAGGTTAAGGTGTCCCTCTGCATCTCCGCGCTGATGAGTATCGACAGAGATGCCTGTGTCCTTCGCATGTTTCGTGTGGCCCTTCATGCCGAGTCAAGACACTTAAAGCTCGTCAAACTCACCTTGAGTCACAAGTTTCAACCCGGCGCCCAGAAGCTCCAAAGCCCGACAAAACCGAAGCCGCAAAGCCCAAAGCTCCCCCCCCCAAGCGCAAGCGGCTAGACCCACAGCCAACACCCCAAGGCCTTACACAAAGCATCAACCCAAAGCCGGCAAGCCGTTCTGACATCGCAGTATGGCCCTCATAGAACTCTTATAATCATCACATTTCTGAACCCCTGACAAAACCTTGTTTTTCTTGCAGGCCCAGACACAGCGCCTTACGGATCCCTTGTAGAACCCTAGCAAGTCTTCTAGGCAGCCCGTCTCCGCTCGACTCACTCCGCGGCTCGAGCCTCTGCCAACCAAAAGCCAGCCCCAGGAGCGGACCCCAGCTTTTGGGGTTTGTTTGTCTTTTTTTGGGTTTAGGTTTATGGTTTTTTTGACATGATGTCTGGACCCCTACGGTGCACACTCGCATACATGTCTTCCCAGGATTTGGGTTTAGGGCTTACAACGAGGCCTGCTGCAAAAAGGGCTTAGGGTTTGGCACACAATCCAAGCCCATGCTGAAAAGGGTTTAGGTCTAGGGTTTAAGGGTTTACATGGACCACAAAACTACAGACTGTAGAATAATCGCACTTTTTCAACTGTTGGGCCATTATTTTTCTTACTTTTGGGGTTTAGGTAGGGTTTAGGGCCTATGTCTTCTGTTGTTTGAGGGTTTAGGGTTTAGGATTTTCTCATGGGAGTTTCTTGGAACTAGGGGTCACTTCACATGGGATCCCTGTATCCCATCAGCCTGGTCTGGGGTTCATACTGGGGTGGCTAATTTTCGGAGATCGCAGTTTCTACAACTATGAGCATTGTCATTATTTCAGGAGTAAATACTCGTACAACGGACAAGAGCAACTAGTACCAACAGCAATGGATGCGATACCTGCATAAATGGTTTAC